TCTACGGGGAGGATGGAACACTGAGGAATGGCTCGGATGATGCCCCGATTAAAACGGCGGGAAAGCTGGTGGCTGAGGGCTTACCAGTGGGCGAAGAGGATTTTCGCACCGAGTGCTTGATCATCATGGCATTGCTGTGAGGCTCAATGTCTGGAAGGCCAATGCGACCGAAAGGCGTAAACAGCCATCAGCCGGTATCACAGAGGATCGATCGAAAGCAGGCAGGCTGCAAACTGAAAGCGACTATTGTCGGTTACTGCATATGTTTTGCGTCGCGCGTTGCGTGTTGCGCCGCCTTCGATGAAAGATGTCCTGCGCAGCTATCAGTTCCGGCCGTATGTGTAATGAAACTTTAGACCAGCGTGACCTGATACAAGTTATCACTTCTGGCCGTACGTTTATTGGTACTATAGACCAGCATGGCCTGATATAAACTAGGAAGAACATTCGGCTTTGCCAAGTTACACCTGGGTGGTGTGATACTTATATTTATGACCGCATCAGTCTTGGATATGTCCTGTCTCATGGGCCGTTGTTAAGGAATATTGGACAATGTGGCAGAAATTGAGCTCAGTTTTTCATGCTACTGTGGAATGGGGTGAGGAGAGGCATATCATGTATATTTTTCAAACAAGTTCAAAGGCTTTCTATTGGAAAAAATGACACAAATGGACGAGGCTGAATTTTTAATCAAATTTATCTAAAAACCAACGATGCAAAGATGAGTAAGTCTTCAAATACTTCGAGGGCGCCCCTGTGGACCCCTCAAAGCCTTCACAGAATCCCGGCGTTTTACATCAACGTTGCCGTCAACTGATCGCCTGTTAAGACTTTTGCAGCCCTTTGACGAAAATATTCCACATTTGTATGAAATTTTAACTGAAATAACTATCTTGAAGATCATTCGGTGTGGTCGACAGTCTCGGCTTTCTTAAGATCTATACCCCTCTAGTTTTGAGCCACACGCCTACGAAGATGTGCGGGCTATGTTGGGGAGGCTTTTTCAAGGTCATGCAAGCATCCATGGCGCCTTAATAATGCCATTCAAATCCTGCCACCCCACTGGCCATGCAGCGATCAAGGCCAAGAAAAATATGATGGCCGAGTCTTTCATTCCTGTTGTTCGTGAGCACGATTTTAGTTTTAACGACCGTCAATTGGCTATCTATCAATGTTGTGAAAGGCTTGATGACATAATCAAACAGTGATGCACTGAGGAGCATACATACTGAACAAAGAAATTGTGCTGTTTAGAGCACTCTTTTTCACTTAGAAGTAAAAAGTATATCAATAGTTACAAGTCAACTTGTTTCATCTTATCTGATGCTTGCTTCAATATCTTTGATATTGTGATAGCTGTGATACTGCTATTGATATATAAATGTGAAACCTTCGCTTTAACACGCACCTTGCCGGCTGACTGAATGCGATGCCCAGGGGGGGGGGGAGGGGTCCTGCTGACGTAGGCGGGAATCCATGCGAGTTAAGTTATCCCAGATCTCTAGATCACAAAGTCGCAACCTTCGGGCACAATCAGGCCTAACGAGGTCAAATATCGGTAGTGGTGCTCGAAGAGCCCCAGGCCTCCTCATGCAACTAGCTTAAACCTAGATACATATTCTAAGCAAAATATCACTTGAGTTCATATCAAGACAATGCCTGATCTGACCTTTAAAAAGTCGAAAAGCCAAAGCTCCTCGAGTCATTTCCACAGTTCAGTTTACGATCTGTGTCAAGACCACCCTATGTGGCATATTTCTAAAAGAAAAATATTGATCAGGGGCATTTAAGATCGGGTACCTACCATCCTCTTCATGAAAGCACATTAAGGGATATGTTGTTGACATTGTGGTCAAATAATTCGGAATGGGCTTCAAAGCGTACCCCTTAAAGCAAGTCTTAAGCAGAGAGATGATTTGGTCTCGACCTTGATCTCAACTCCATACCTTACTCACGTTCAATGAAATAAGCTGCAATTGTGATTTCAGTGGTCTGATTGCTTAAGAAATCTGCTCAAAGTTGTACCAATTCGTTCTAGGACTTGTCTTCGCAGACATCCATGGGGTGATTTCGACTGGCTTACGGGTCAGCGACAGTAAAAGTTACGTCGAAGTCCTTGTGTCAAAAAGTCAGCTTTTCAACTGCTTACAGTCGTACGCGGATTTGAGCGTGGCTTCGCCACACCATTCTATTCTAGAAATTATTTCGGGGAGCAAATTGACTCCCATCCGAGCGCGTGTCACCTGCGATTCAGCTCAACGTGTCTAGTGTATTATTTGGGGCTTCCAGAAATGAGCTTTCAACATTAGACGCCAAGGTGGCGATGCTAGTGGTAATATAGTAATCGTTTTGGTGTCACAACTCGAGAACTGAGGTCCACCGTTTCGACGCTGCGATCTCAGGATTCCAAAAGGTCAGAAGTGAGGTATTAGCTGACCTTGGACGTGACACCGCGGGCCACTGCTGCCAGCCCTAGTTCATGAGATAAGTGATGGGCTCGGAATCCAGCATCACTGGGTATGCATTCCAGAACGTAAGCACTCCTGGACCGACAGGAATGAAAATTATGTTGGTTGGCAACTTGTAAATGAGTGCCAGTCAGACAGAAAACTACGAGATGGAGTTTGCGGGTCTTTCTAGCGTGGGTTATAAGCATTTGTAGCCACTCACTGCCGTGGTGTGTCAGCCCAACACAGAATAATGATTAAGTGCATTTGCTAGATGAGGTGGAGGTGCACGTTTAACACGCACCGGTGTGGCCGGCTGGATACCCTTCGCTCGGGTGGGGGTCAACTTGACCCCCCTGAGATCTCCGGAACTTAGAAAGCCAGAGACACCAAATTCACAGGATGTGTTGACATGTACGTGAAATCACTCAGGTCGAATATTGGGCTTTCTAGGTCACGACCATTGGGTCAAATAAGGTCAAACATTGCCTGATTCCAGATTGGTCTCTAAAGTGCCCCCAGAACCTAGATAACTGTTTTTAAGCAAAAGGTCACGCGCTTATTATTTAAGGTCAGTGCCCTTGTTTGACCTTTTGAAGTTCATGGTGAGCAACACCATACAAGACCGCTCTGAGTTTTGCATTAGAATAAGTGGCAAAAATTGTGCTAGGCAGTACGTTCCTGAAAAAGCATACTGACCTGGTTCATTTTAGGTCAATAACCAATTTTGAGCCCTAAAAAGTCCATAGAAGATGTAACATGTGGTTTCTGCTGTTAATAAATTCGCAATGAGCCCCGAAAACTATCCCATACAGGAAACCATAGAGTAATAAAACAGGATGGTTTCGACCTTGGTCTGACCTTTATAATTTACCTCAGGTCAATGTAATTCGCTCATTCAATTGTTGTGCGGCCTAAGAAAACATCTCAGATATGTATGGCTTTGTCTAACATTCCGTTGTATCAGATTAAACGATTCCCTAGCAATTGACTTCACTGACCGCTATCCAATTATCTAGAGCTACGCAAAACTTGGCACGGCTACGCCTCACCGTTCGGAAACCGTTCTGGAAAAAAATCTTTGGGGGATCAGTTTGATCCCCACTCGAGTGTGTGCTAACCAGCAATCATCTGAGAGATATCCTCCAGGCTTATAATATAGCTCCTTTAGCGTTTTAGCGAAGTCCGCCGAATTGTAGACATCTGTCAGCTTATCAGACTAACACCTGGCGAATCGTTACTCGGATTCAAAAGTGGGATCATAGCGGCTTGCCTTGTTACATAAATGCATGCACGGCTATTCATGTTGCTTAAGATTCACCGTTACCTTATGTGTCGGGTTGCTTTGATGTTAGTCACCAAATGGCTCGACTGCATAGGTAAAGGTAAAAAGTTACATGTAAGCTTACACCAGGTGACCAACAGAGGCTACCTTAGATCAAATAAGCAGCGAGCCGAGACAAATTCGTTTGGGCCTCCCACATGTGATGGTATGTCACTAATGCTAACACATTTTCCACAACAATCAGCATTGACGAGGTTACCATGTCATCAAATGTCATGTCACTGGTGCAAGATGAAAAAAAATACATTTGAATTAGCTGACTTCACATTGACCTGATCTAACCTTGACATAACCTTTTCTTGATCACTGAACTTTGTTACAATAGGTTTTGTTTGATGCAGAAGAGAAGGGCCCTATCGGTCGGTGCTGGTTAAAAAGTTATATATCCAGTATAACTAATGGGAAAGGAACTCAAATGAGCCATCATTGTGTTCCGTTTAAAACACTTATGTGACGTGAAATGTCATTAGTTGTGTGGAGAGTCACGCCAAGGATTACTGGGTGAAATTGATCAGAGCTAGGAATTATCGTTTGAGTTTTTTACATCTGACGTCCAGACCAGAGGCAGAAGTGAGGCTGAACGTTTCCATCTCGGTGATCTCGGTTAGGTTGGTAGGTCGTAGGTGCTTGGGTAGCCGCGGCTGTTCACTTGCCTCGGGCGATGCCAGGTTACAACCCATGATATGCTATTGCTGGGTCCTAGCCTTATGTTAGCAGCGCATTGGAACCACGTACCGAAGTTGGAAATCAACAATATGAAGCAGTAGTCATTGCAATAGCGAATAAGATAACGTATCTGGCGGAGATCCAAGGCAGCACCAACTTAAGTTGTACACGTAACTTTAAGTAGTGTAATACACTTGGTTGGAGTACGATTGTTCATATACCAAGTCAGTAGTCGCTCAGATTTAGCTGGGTTTACTGCAAATGGCTATCTGTCTTTTTTATCATTCTTACTTCTTCAACCACCCGACGTGGATGGCGCACAGTGCCTTCAGTTCTGTATTCTTCAAGTACTAAACAGATGCGTTGACCCATTACGTGTGCAACGAAAGAAGCGTATCTTTTTCTCGACATTCATCACGGTTTGATGTGAGTCATGTGTAACCGCCGATTCTGACTAAGGACCTGATGAATTCGGACGCCAGACTGGCTCCAGTGACGCCAGGTTCCCCGTATGAACATGACCGACCTTGCTGTCGCCCCAGGCGCGTGCATATCACCTTGGCAACGTTGAACCAACTGGACGGCGCCTACGAGGTGGAACCGGGCGATGGCCATCTTCGCGACTGGTACATCGCTGAGACGCACGTCCGCACGTACCTGATCGTCCCACCTCAGGTCAGGTCAGGTCACGGCTGGGCACAGGCCACCCCCGTCCGCACGCACCTGACCTCCTGCCTGAGGTCAGGTCAGGTGTCGGCTGGGCGTAGGCTACGGCCGGCTCCGACTTCGGTATCCAATTATGGACGTGTTTGCGTGCGTGCTAGCGTTGTTAGCTTGGGATTATTAAGCACGCTGAACCAACTTATGTACAGTAAGCGGGTTGTTGGCTGTAGGTAATCCAGCGTCACTCCGGGCCTCGGCAAAATGATTGTTGCGGCCATGATGTTAATCAGTGGGATTCAAGTGTTTCACGAGGCGAACCCCGTGGCGATTCGCGACCATAGCCCATCAGATGGTCTGTCATGTGTGGTGCATTTGTCGACGCTTGGCTGCCGAGTGTCGCCCGCGTCGTAAAGCCAACGTTACTGACAACCACACATGTCCGTGCCTGGGACTCAGCCCCACATGTCTGTCATACATTGGCCAGGGAGGTCTGGCGCGCTCCAATATGAACCACCGATGCGGAAAAACATTCGCCAAAACATACACCAGGTTTAGGAGTCCTACCATGAGCCGGGCAATGTTGGCATTCAAACAATAATTTCAAACAAGAATAATTGCTGTCAAGCTATTTTTATCAGTTAACAATGGAGTTTCGCACGTCTGAGTAATCTAAGGCTATGCTATTTATTTGTATCATTGATACAATAGTTGCCAGCCGTTGGCCTCTCTTGATGAAAAAGCCATTATAGGCAGTCTTTCACATTTGTTTGGGGGTTTGAGCCGCCATGGAGTTCTGAGCATCACTGAATGCGATTAAAAGAACATGTCTTTTTCAGACTTGAATCCCTCCTGTTTCTGAGCTTGACGCATGCCGCCTGGTGCATGCTATTTCAGGAAGCCTTTCTGAACGTCAACCAGGCATGTATGACTTCATGGAAACATCATTACGTCATTTTGCAGCATCAATGGACAGCAGTTGGCCTCCAACCAGTTTTAAGCGTTGTGTGCAAGCTTAAACACGAGTCTGTTTTGTGTCACGTAATACAGGACTGTGGGCAGTGCTATCATTTATAACAAACACGCAATTGAATGTCTTGAAAACAACACCATAACCGAGCAGATGAATCCAAGTGAAAATCTAAGTTCAGGGCCAAATATACATAAACATCACGAAAAAGGGCCAAAACTAGGCGCACCTAACAATATTCAGGTTCAGCAAAAACGCACCAGTTCACAAACGACCTCTTGGCAAGTTGATGTACTTCAGGTGAGTTAACCCGTCCGCTACAGTGGTAATTCTGACACGGCCAGTTACGCAGCGAATCTGACGTCACAAAGACGTTTCACGCCGCCATCAAACATGCACGCATTGAGGAGCATATTTACTTCATGGTGAAATTGTATTGTCTAGAGCAGTCTTTTGGACCTTGCGGCGTACTGATAAATACAAGTGAGGTTATGATATCATAACTGGTGCTTGTCTCAATCTCTCCAAGTGCGGAACATTCTCCTTAAGTTCATAGCTGTGTTTCTATGCACTAAGGACACACTATGCACTAGTCGCCTCCCCGAAACTAGGTTCAATCTTCATCTCCCATCTTCAATAAAAAACGCAACGTGCTGCATAGCTGTATCCATCTAATACCCATCCGTAATAAACCGTTCTTTAGAAAGCTGGAAACCGAGCACAGAATAACGAAAAATTATTGGCCTATCATTCGACGGCCGCGTGCGATTGCTCGACATAGGCGGTGTGTTTGTCGCTGCAGAAGCCGACCCAGCCGAGCGCCGCGTGCCACAAGATGGCCGCCGTAAGGAAACGGAAGTACGTGGAGTGCTGGGGTGCGGACAAACCGTTCGCCAACATTAACGAGACGGCACTAGCCGCCAACATCGGCCTCGCGGTAAGTCGACCTCGTATCTCACCCTTAGCTGCAATAGGGAAAGTAACTGTTTCCCCACCCGGCCTGCCCAGAAGTGGCTTTGCATCCCCTCCACCTGGACGGCTCTAGCGGTGGATGCGCCAGCTCCGTATCCGGCGAGCCTTAGCGGCGAGCCTGTGCTTCCTCCCGATCAGCCGGCGTAAGCAGTGGCTGCTCTTCGTATCGTGTATTCGTTCTGTCGGCCTTAGGGAGCGGACATTTCCTGCTCATGTGGCCTGCTATAGTGATACAGGCTGGTAGACAGCACCTGGCCACTTTGCGCAATGTCGATGTAAGTGGCCTTGTCAAAACTCTGCCAGCCCACATGGCCAACCACTGGTCCCAAAGTATTTGTTTCGTTTGAAAGGAATGGGATGTGAATGGCAGAGTGGACAGATGCTGGATTCTGATAATAAATACAGTCTGCATTCTGGGTGTTGACTGTCAGCAATTTAGCCAAAATGTTGAGCTAGGCAGCATCCCGGACTGCCTTCTGGGCGATAACCTTAAGGAATTCTCAACACATGACATGCAATTGTTATGGGTCTGATGCGAACATTGCGGTGCAGCCACAGATTGAGTGCCCTGTCTGAAGGCTCCAAGTATGAACGGGCAGCCCGTTCCTAACCCTCAGCTTATAACCTAGACCCTAACCTTAAGCTTATAAATGAGAGGTTATTGGACACCACGAGATGTTGCCATGCTTACTCTGACATCCGGAAGTCCACTACGGACGCTGTTGCTCAACTGGTGTATGCTTCACAAGACCACTAATGCGTTAGGTGGTCTTAGAGGTATCGGTGTCGATATGTATTAGGTGGTTGGATGCTTTGTAGCCATTTTCACGACGGTTCACCCCTGTTATTCAACAGAAGTGCCTAAGGCCTAACATCTCATAAAACATCAGTGACCTACCCTACACACTGCTGCTTGTGCTACTGCATCGGCATAGCAGGCAAGGGTGGGACTTTGTACGTCTTTGGAGGGACCTTGCTCCCCTCAATCCCCCCCCCCCCCATACTTTTCTCGGTCTGTTTCTGTTTTACCAGAATTCTCTCGCTTATTCGAACGCAGAATACAAGCAGAATACAGCCTCTGCGGGTTTGAGATCTTCGCCCTCCCATCGGGAATTTTGAGGCTGCATCCATGATGGCGCATGAGAACATATCTACACACCTGCATTCATTCTCGCTGGTTGTTTCTACGTGAGGTTTGTCACCCCCCCCCCCCCTCATGGAGCGTCAGCGACTGCAGAAGCCATGTTTCCACTCAGAGGCCATACCGCAGCTGGGGCCGGGGTAACGCAATGCACCTCCCCCCTTCCCCCACCTGGGAGCCAAAGACGCTGACCGCTAGGTCATTATATCTCCATCCTCCAAATAAGTGGGAAACACATTTAATCTTTTAAGCCATTCTGAAGCTACCCAACCATGCACTCGCCACCTGCTGGAGGCTGCATAATGCTCAAAAATAAGTCTTTTGAACAAACACGAGCTTTGTTAACAATTGTGATGTAAATTTAGAGTTGTTAAGTTCTACTTTTTGACGTGGTGATGCGTACTGTGCTTGATTATATATCGACGTTCGGAAAATATGCCCGGCTGTGGAACACGGAGCAAAGTAAGTTGTATGTCTCCCCCAACTGCACCATGCTTCAACCATTTTAGCACCAAATCAGCTGTCCTGGTGACTCAAGAGATGTAGTCGGGTTTTGACAATCCATCTGTATCGTTCACAAAACACATTACTATGTGTCAGTTCACAGTCCACAATCCTATCATACTAATTGAAATCTGCCTGACTGATTTTCGTTGCGTGAAGACCGTAAAATTGGCAAATTATAACGTTACAAGAGTTGCGCTTGGTATGCGCAAGGAAGACCTTCAGCTCCCAGTTTTGTTGAGTCCTTGTGCGGTAAAAAATCGACCAGCAATGCGACAGGAGGTGCTGGTTAAGCGTAATTTTCCAGCAAATATTGCATGGCCCCATGAAGGGGTGGTACTTGCCTGGAATCTTGGTGATTGGGCGTTTGCAATGTGTAAAACTCATGCCATTAAGTTCGAAAGGCCTTAGGGGTAATGTAAGCCCTGTCTGTGGCTGCATATCAAGTTCCGACTTTCCATAATGAGGAATGGTGTCAACCCTTCCTTGCCAGGCGAAGCTGCTGAACGTTTCCCACACCGCAATGAACGGAGCTCCGCCGAATTTACTGAAGAGTGGCGAACATAATTTTCCGCATAAAATATGGCTTCTACGTGGCCATTGGTCTAGCGGCGTTTTGATCCTGCAGGTCCTTAAAACGCCATACATGTATGCATTTGTTACTTAACCACCTCTGACCCGGCCGATGCTCATCTCCAACAGTCTAAAAGTCTTACTACCTTTGTCAGATGTCCCAGGTTACACACGAGTCAGGCCTTCTGTCCACCTCCGAGACGCGATTTCGAATCGCGGTCGTTAACAGCATTGACTTCCTTTCACTCACTGCCGCGGGAGATCACTCAGCTGATGGAATGGTTTTCAAAGCACATTTAAAGCACATCACCGCCTCACCCACTGAGGCGGTGATGTGCTTTAACGACGATAAGCCACTGCGTGGTCACGGACCCTGCTGACTAGGCCTGGCCTGACCTGATCTGACCTGACCTGACGTAGTGGTGATGTAGTGACCTGCCTTCGTGACCGTCTTTTCAGAGCATGTCGTCGGTGGAGGCGAACCTGTTCCCCCTGGGCATGTCAACCATCGATTGCAGGTCAGTGACAAGGGCGCGCTCGGGCCCTGGTGGAGGGTGACGAGTGTGCACAGTGCATATTTGTCGCTCTTTTCCGCCAGATGGTGACGTTATGCGAGGACTAGCTGTCTATAAAAAAGTGTGCGCTGATCTGGGCGGAACAAACTTCTGGCCGGCCTGACGAGAAGAGAATAGGGGGGGGGGGGGGGAGGGGGAGGCGGTGTATTGCGGCCTACCGAGTGCTCTGTACGCCGCTTTTCTCTGCTAGGGAGGATATTGTCTGTGTACGCGGGGGGGGGGGGAGGGACGACTGGGCTAACCGTGCTCCCGCGTGTGAGTTGTGTTGGGGGTGCGGTACCTGCCTACGCTCCCCAAGCTCAAACGAAGTCTGCTATCCTCTGGTGGAGTTACCTGGCACCTCGCGCGCAAAGACCGCTTTTGAAAAGCGCTGTTAGGCAACAATCATGAATACGAAGTTGTCATGTTTACGAAATTTCTTGAAAAGGGCTGAACTAAACATCACCAATTATTTCTTTCGCTCGCTGAGACAAACGCGACGATTCCGACCTTTGTCACGGGGCTGACAGTTGGCCGACGTGATCAAGCGGTGGTGCGTTTGATCGCTCATGTTGGTGCTGATCAGAAATTGGTGTAATGTATCTTTTCATATATATATATATATATATATATATATATATATATGTACGCATTGTTATTTGCTTAGTCTCATAGCACGGGGTTAAACCGATACGTGTGTACGCCATAGCGTCATGCAAGCATTTGTTTGGGAAAGTCCCGAGTGAAAATCATTTGTTCATTTCATATTAAGAAACCCCTCTTTACTAAAACAAGTTTGTCTTCATCAATAGTAAAACGCTTTTGCTACTGCGAAGTTCCGTAATCATCTCGGAATTCCATGATTTGTCGTGGGCCTATGGGACTGCTGCATTTTGAGCATCATTGATCGACAATCTAATAAATTCCATGCGAAGTTTGCATAGCGCAAAGTCTTGCTGTCAGAAGTGCTGGTACATTGGAACAGGGTGTTAATCGTAACCGACACTTATGCGAGTGACAATTCAGCTAAGGGAATTCATTGGAAGGCAATGTTGCCGCCTGGCTTTCATCCGTCCGGGAATATTCATAAGATAATTGCATTCCGCGACAACCTTCGTGAGTCACAGAATGGCGTTATTACTGTCACCAAGTGAGCACGTCGGCATTTCCAATTTACCAGCGATTTAGGGACACTAGTCCTTCGCCAGGAATTCCGCCAAGGCCAGCTTCAAGATCAAAGCTTCCGGCTATCTGATCATTAGTCACGTTGGTAAAGGGTGTGTGCTGATGGCCCCGCGACCGGTGTCTTCTTGAACTGCGCATCTGGCTGCGCGTTGAAATCGAAATATTCGCTCACAGAACGCTATTGCTGTTGCTTTGCTCCATTTAGCAAATAAATGATTTGTATGTTCAACATCGAAGTTGCATGTGCTTGTGATCGATCGCCTTTGATTTGTTCTCTGATCCTACACTTCGTGATGCAACCATGCAGGATGTGTAATTCGTATCCCTGAAAGTACACTCTGCACTCAGACCTGACATGGCTGACCAAGCCGCAGCTCAAAACACATGCAACGAGTTTACAACCTTTTTAATTTTTTTATAAATTTGATCCGAACCCTTGAATGGATGGATTTCTGAGATCAGCGCCCACGCTAAGCAGTGCTTGTTGTGTGAGATCTGACCCCCACCATCCGATCGCGCAATCCCAGGCAACGGCAGAATTTAGTGGCGAAAGCTTAACGTGCCGCAATGCTTGGCACGGTCCGTCCTGCCCTCTGACGTCAACTGACATTTAGCGCGACCGCTGCCACCGGCCGCAGGCCATACCTGTCAAGGGCAAATAGCGAGCGCCCTAAAGCGACTCGAACCCACCCAGCTACGGGTGGGTGGATCGGAAGGCAGGCGCTCTAACCAACTGAGCCACCGGGACGGACCTCAATCCAAACATTCACGTTCTTGGTAGGCACAAGGAATTCTTGTGCCCGAAATGCAACACATCAGCCAATAAGTTGGTTGCGAGTCTGACAAAACTTTGTTTACGTATGGTAAACTGGCTGCTTGCAAATGTGAGGGGGCCGCATTTCAGAAACTACAAGAAAAACAAAGACAAACGGAAATTAAGGGGAAGATTCATCTCTCTCTCAGTCTCACCCATACCGATCCTCACAAGGTGCATAAATTTTAAGGCGAAATGCTTGGCAGTCGCCCACGAACACATGGCTATGTGGCGTCTCTTACACTAATCACGCGGCGCGCACACTGAGATACGATGCACGGATAAAGCAGGCATGTTTTAAGCCCAGCCAAATCCGGGCGGGCCTCGCGTCAGTATGTGGAGGGAAGACGGGGGGGGGGAGAGGGGGGAGGAGGATGGGACGATGTTCTGTTCAATTAGGGATGGCACTGCCGGCAGCAAAACGCCCTTAGCTCTATCGATGGACTTGGCCGATGTCATTCCAATAGCAGCAGGGGTTCCAGAGTTCAGCGTAGTTGCAAAAGACAGCAAACCAAACCAAAAGCAACTCGCAACTGGAGCAAAAACTGCATCAATATACCAGCAGACTATGAATGAATCCCACGAATCTTCTGCCCACACGAGCTTAGCCATCGCTGCTTATGGATATGGTTTGCTGTGCTGTGCGCCCAGCCTGCTTCGGAAGGGGGGCGAGTTGATATCTGGCCATCTGGAAGGGGGGGATATCTGGAAGGGGGGCGAGTTGATATCTGGCCACACTGACTTGGCGTGACGTCGTGGTGCTGGCCTCCGGGAGAGCTTCAAAAGTCAAGAAGCAGGAGTGCCTGAGTGATTGCGGAAGGCCATGGGTCCTGCCGGATGCGTGGAAACCCACGTCAGATGTAATTATGCAATCTGATATCACGAACGAAATACAAAGTAGGTCGGGGTATGGAGTGTGTGCACCACCGAACAGAGTATGGGACCTGCTGTGGACGGCGGCAGTTTGGGCAGGTATGGCAGACGTTTTAGCGAGTGGTACATCGATGGCTGGCTGCAGTTGGTGTTTTGATATAAGTGGCCAGACACGAGTTCTGTATTACGAGGGTCAGAATAGCCAGTATCACCTCCTCGTGTCAAATGCTTCTGCTGTGTTGAAGTCGAGCGCTACGATGCTGGACTGGTAATTGCGAGTGTGAGTGCTGCCCTACACACAATTCACGTTGAGAAGTGTTCAAAAATTGAGTGTTGATAATATATGTATGTAGCTGGTCTTCCAGCAGGATGCCACGGATGTTTGACATCCGGTCGTGCCACGATCCCCTCAGGCAGTGCTGGAGCTCGGAGGAGCTGAACCCGGTGGCGCTCTGGTTCAAAGACGGTCACCGAGAGCTGGAGTACCACCAGCAGAGTGACCCTTTGTTCAAGCACCACGTAACGTGCGCCTTGCTTCTGTTCACGGCCACCTGTTGCATTCAACTGGACGAGTGTGCCAGGTCAGTCAGCAGACGCCCGCGGTGGAGCGGGACGGCAGGTCAGTCAGCAGACGTCCGCGGTGGAGCGGGACGGCAGGTCAGTCAGCAGACGCCCGCGGTGGAGCGGGACGACAGGTCTGTCAGCAGACGCCCGCGGTGGAGCGGGACGGCAGGCCAGTCAGCAGACGCCCGCGGTGGAGCGGGACGACAGGTCTGTCAGCAGACGCCGTGGTGGAGCGGGACGGCAGGTCAGTCAGCAGACGCCCGCGGCGGAGCGTGACGGGAGGTCAGTCAACAGGTATCGCTGGCATATTGCCAATGAAAAACAATCTATCGAGTTCAGCCACCTGACGCCAATGGAAAACTAAATGCAAAGGGTAGTCAGCAGGGGCCAAAAGCTAATGAAATGTGAGGGTCATCCAGGGGCACCACGCAGCAGCTTTTGTAGCGGGAATACTGCTAAAAAGTCAGCGTGGGGTAACACGTACACCAACAGCAATGAGTTGCCACGTGCATGCCGTCTTACCTGGTTGTCCCGAGTCTTGCTGAAAGATTCAAACCATTTGCTGTAAAAAAATGCACTACTTAATTAAGGAATCCCTTGTCTACAGTGCCGAAGTTGTCCGTCATTTACATTCCTTTTCTAAGTATGTAAGACATGTGATGACGTGCAACAGGTCTGAAATCATTGTCTGCCCAAAATGAGTCTGCGAAGTTTTTCCGTGACCGACCAAAAGCTCAATCCGTTTGCACCGAGTTTCAGTCGACCAATTTTTGCGTCTCCGAATTATATTGCCACCACCCACCCTACGCTTGGCACGCCTTGGAAGCATGACAAGGACCGAATTGCGTCATACCATCAGAAATGCCGACACTTAGCTGCAGAACTATATAATACCACTAGAGCCCGTCGGCCAGGTTTCGAGTTGCCCCAGCCGTAGCAAGCCAGGATGAAAAGCTCTGGTCTGCAGCCTTGGAAACACTCACGCGAAGCATCGGAATCACCGATGCCGGAAGTTATAATGTGCCTGTCGTTCCTGCAGGCCTCCGGTCCCAGTGCAGTAGGGGCATGTTAATTGATCTAACTCTTCTGGAATCCAGTCTGCGGTCACCAGGCTGGAAACCAGTTTGAGTATCGGCAAACCCTCTGTCACTGTGCTCAACGTGCCGGCTAGGAAATTATGGCAAGCCTGTTGGCGGCGATATATCGTTGCTAAATGAAATGGAGCATATTGTACGGGCTGCTGACGTGAATTCTTTAGATTATCCTCATCAGCGAACATTGCAAAACTTTTTCTCATCCAGAAATTACCAATAATTTGATTGCTTTGCAAACGTATCATTATGAGAGAGACTGCATGTCGAGTAGTCATACCAGTTGGAACGTTTGTAGCAAAATGACACTTTTACTGCCGGATGAGAAAACATACAATCGTACATGAAAAGTGTTGGTCAAAATGTGCCGGCACCCGCGCGAAATCGTCAGCAATCATTGGATTCACCGGCTTCGGTATTTTTACATAAATAGTCTGCAAAAATGCTACAGGGTGCGTAGCCCATTCGTCATGACCACACCCCACCGAAAATAGCAGCGTTGTTTAAAAACTGGTCAGCCACCAAAAACCCGCAAACTTTTTCAAATCGATTTGATTTACCCATCAAAATTGTAAGGCCTTGATCGGCTCAAATAAGATGACGATCACTTGGTATTTTGAAGCGCGTCGTCGTGGAAGGTCATATTGTGCAACAGCATTAGTCGGCTTCAAGCAGCAACTTTACTACCCAGCTCATCAAGGTAGAATATTCCAGCGGATTGAAACTCCTATCTACACAGGCTCACGGAGACGACAGGCCTTTTCGATTGTATTTAGGTATCATCTGCACGACGTTCGTCACGTTTGCTATCACCTCGCTTGTCTCATGCCGCACAAAAGGCACTGGTAGATTTCTATGTAAAAAGTGATTATGGAGTGGTAGCGTACTTGCTACTGCGCATATCTAAGGTTTGTTCTTGCCGCTGTCCAACATTGGTTGCACAACACAGAGGCTGCTTGACTCGTCACTGACATGTTGCATGTCAGCCAATAGTCATTTCCTGGTAATGCACGGGTCAGTTTGTTGTCATCCCTCGCGTTTGAAGCAAAATGCAATAATCGTGAATATTCGAGCAAAATGCAATAATTGTGAATATTCTAGCAAAATAAAGTTCTCGATCGTCTTAAAGAACCGAGGATGTGCGCAGTGTTTGTTTACCAAAATATTTAGTAATCTGAATCGCATAGTACTAGAGATGTAGTTCTTTTATTCAGGTTCCCGTCTCCGCACTGTTCTCAAAATGTGACAGAGAAAAACTCGCCGCAATTGCGGTGTTCCCACGTTTGGGCATATTCTGAATGAAGGTTCAGCCATATTTTTTCCTGCTCAGCCTCCCAACTAATTATGCGCATAACACCCCCGCATGAAACGCATGTGGACGTGGTCATAACACCCCCGCATAAAACACACGTGGACGTGGTCATAACAACCTCGCATGGAACACATGTGGATGTGGTCATAACACCCCCGCATGAAACACATGTGGACGTGGTCATAACTCCCCTGCATGAAACACACGTGGACGTGGTCATAACAACACCGCATGAAACACATGTGGACGTGGTCATACACCCCCGCATGAAACACATGTGGACGTGGTTATAACAACCCTGCATGAAACACATGTGGACGCGGTCATTTTTCGCTACGCTTCTTTAGTGCCGATAACGAAACTCTTAGCCACTTGACCGCAATATCAAGCACCGGCACCCCGCATCAATGACGGAAAAGGACTGACCGCTGTCCAACAAGGAATTTGTTGAGCGAGGTCCGAGCGGGAACCCCGGGAACGTTGGAGGCGGTCATATAGCATGTTGGTCAAGTCCTCAGAATCAGCTCGGTATGCTCGTAGGAAAGTGAGTCGATGTCCTCACGGATGATCGCATATTGTAGGGATGTGCATTCTCTGACAACGCCACCGACGTCTGGTGGCACCGGCTGAAAAGCCGAGTAAGACAGCACAGACCTGGTAATCCCAGCTGAACAGCCGGGTAGAACAGCACAGGCCTGGTAACCCCAGCTGAACAGCCGGGTAAAACAGCACAGCCCTGGTAACCCCAGCTGAGCAGCCGGGTAAAACAGCACAGGCCTGGTAACTCCAGCTGAACAGCCGGGTAAAACAGCACAGGCTTGGTAACACCGGCTAAACGTTCGGGCGTTTGCACCAATCTCGTGAGCAAAGGTTACAGCACTGGTGGCGGGTCGCTGCTCCGTATGCCTGACGGCCAGAGTGGGGTTTCGGAGCGACGATTTGCTGTGCTGCATGACGGAAGTTATTTGTGATACCGCTCTCACACAGCCTTCAGGGAGACGGGCACAAAGGTTTGTGTTCTGATGTGAGAGGCGATTAACCTGTTCCGGAGTGGAAATATTGACGGTTCTTCAATGCTGATTACTTTTGGTTAGCTCATGGCACGCTCATAGTGCTACCAGGTTACGCAGACAATCTGTAAGAGCTTCGACAACGGTACCAGCCTTGTAAATGGTTGATAACCTGGCGGGAACCGTATCGTGCTCAACGTGCGTTACTCGAACATGTTAAGCCCTGTGCTTTCCGAACAGATCATCGTGCATTCACTGACCCCTCGCCATCAGACCCGGCGTAAGCTAGCCCCCCCCCCCCCGCCACATAGCACTGCACACTCATAAACCTTCCGGGCCAAGTCGCGGCCAGTTCGGACAGTTCAGCACTCTGATGCCGATATCTGTCGGTGCGGCAACCTGACCTTTTCTGGGATGTCACCGACGCAGCGCGATGGCTGTGGCATACCTAAATGCTCCTCCGCTGCCTCCCTTCAGACCCGTCCGAGGCGGACACGCCTTGTAGAGAGGTTTGCCGAAGCTGGCCGTGACAACCGGCCTCAGCCTTGTCAAAGCAAGTGGAACTGGCCACCAACGTTGAATCAGCATTAAGTCTGGAGCCATTCGACTTCCGTGTCGGTCGCTATCGGCCGCATATTCAGATCAACCCCGGCGGCTGCGGCTGCCACCGCGAAGCGCGTCGCCGGTACGTGTAACAACACAGAAAGCTAAACTGCTGCTAGGGGCCCGATGCCGCTGCTCTGAGGACGAAGAGCCTTGGATGATCGCCGCTGCTGGACCTCGGGAACGGACGGCTTTGCCAGTGCTTACTCAGGATAGCTGGAGCTGGCATCTCAATCGTGCTCACTGGAGCCCCTCTAGTCCCTATCCTATCTGTCCAGCCCCCTCGAACGACGGCGGCGGTTTTAGTTTCGGATACCACGATCGACTTGAGCGTGCCAGCTGAAGTCGACACGAGGCAGCCATACGCCGTCACCTAAGTCGACATGTGACAGAAGCCACCTACCATCTGAAACCACCGCGCGGGCCAGTTGGCTGCGTCATCATTAATCGGTACCAACTTTGAGCCAACATGCTACATATATGAGGTACGTTTCGCGTCGGAAATGCTGTGCCATCCACTTGATGCTACATGTGTAAAGTTATGTGTACATAGCTAAGTAGGATACCTGTGTCAGCCAAAGTTCTGAAGATTTCCTCGGAACTGTTCGGTCCTTGTCGGCATCGCGCAGCTCTTCGATTCCGATATCGTTTATTCGTGAGATCGGAAGGCAGCACCCATTACATACTATTCACAGACACAATCCGTTACAATCGTTTGTCAAATTAATCAGCGCAAGATCAGTAACAGCCCGGAAGAACTTACGGGTGACAATAGCCCTGTTTACATAGGGAATTGAAAATGCTGCCAGACTGGCACCAAAGCTGTCCAGCTGTAGGGTTTTTAATTTTTGTGTATTCGAGTTGCTAGTAACGTGGCGCTCTTGAGTCGAGCTGTGCAGCGTTTTGTTGTCGCATTGAAGTGCCTATTTAAAAAACCTTAACTACTTTCTGGGAAATCCATGCAGATTTCATGTTTTCATCTACAACTTGAGCAACACTAC